CAGCGCTTCCCTCGAGGCATGGCGGCGTGGCAGCAGCAGCAGGCGGCGGAGACGCGGGCTGCGGGTGGTGGCGTGAAGGGGCTGAGGCATGGTGGGGCGCGGTGGGCTCCGGCGGCTTTGACCCTGTCGGCATGCGGCCAGATCTGGGCCCAGGCGGCACGGGCCAGGAGCGGCGTGGGCTGCGGGCGTCCGCCTCTGCCGTGACCATGGATGGTAGGGGCGGAGGCGCAGCGGCGGTGGCAGGTGGGCGGGCTGCTCGGTTTCCAGGCGTCCCGCCGGCTGGTCGGCGACGGCGGCGCGGTTGGACTCCCCGGTGAGCTTCCTCGGGGGTGGGCGGCAGTCCTGGTGGGCACTCCTTGCCGGTGGCTGGGGCTATGTTGGTGGCCTTGTGCGGCTCTGCGCTGGGCGCCGAGGCGGGGCAGCACAGGGGTGTGTCCGGGGGGAGGGATTTTGCTGGAGGGATGGGCGACGCCGACGTGCTCGGGCCCCCGTCACCGACACAGGGGTGTGCCGGTCTGGATGCGTCCGCTCCCCCACCTCCCCCTTTCCCCGGCCGCGTGCGGGCGGCTGTAGCGCTGGCGATCTTCAAGGCGGGATACATTCTGCGGCTCGTCGGTCTGGTGTGTCCCCTTGGTCCAAAGTTGACCCTTTTGGATGATCTTGGGGGTGTTTAGATGTTGGGCGGTGGCCCTGGCGGTGGGAGGCGTGGCGTTCGTGGACGGAACCTACGTCTCGGGTGTGGGCGGGCAACCATGGCCTCGCTGGGGGCTTGGTTGCGGCTGGTTGGCAGAGCGAGGGTATGTCGGAGGGGTGCGAGCGCTGGAGTTTATCACTTGCCCAGTCCTTGTACTGGCCGACGGTGGCGGCGGCCGTGGTCGTCGTATCCTTCATGAAGGCGCCGTGGCGGTGCTCCTACCCCTCGCATGTGACTCCGGGTGAAAACTTGATCTATGGATCGGACGATGCAGCTATCCATGGGCGTCCCCTTCTAGGAGGCACTGTCTTGGAGTCCCTGCTCTCTCATGACCATATCCCCCCTCCTCGGAGGTCTCCGTCCTCTTCAAGCGGTTATCCTTCGCCATTTTAAGTTAGCTTGGTTGGCGGTGGCATTGGGGGACGGTGCTCGACACCTTTGTATCATGTCTTGGGTGTGTGTGTTGTGTGCGGTGGTGGTGTGCGTTGTATCGGTCTGTCCGGATGTTATGATGATGCTGGCTTTATAATATAAAGTGGGGGAAACCCTTTTTCGATAAATGTACAGAAATTAAGTATAGAAAGAGAAACCAAATTTTGATCCGTTTCAAATTTTGTGATATTGATATTAATCTCTCTGGGGCTTTGTGATGGATATGCATGACAAAATGAAATGCGTATGCTGTCAATCCATCAAGTATTTGTTTGGTTGTTAATTAGGAACTAAGCGATTTGTTTACAGGTTACATCTTTGCGGTAAACGATAACGTCAGTGATGTTAGACCTACATGCAGGTTTCTTTCACAGTTTTTTTTTTTTTTGGAAAAGGGATGACTCCCCGGCCTCTGCATCAGAAAGATGCATACGGCCCTCTTATTAGCCAAAAAGTAGTGTCCACATGGTTCCAAAGGTCTCAAAATATAAAGCACAAACAGCTCACAGAGAGCCAAAAAGGGGCTAGAAACACCAACTAGCCTAGAAAAGATGCCACAACCGGCTGGCTAAAAATAGATAGGAGATCAAGCTATCCTATTACATGACCGCCATCCAAACCGGTTGAAAATATCCCGAGCTACCATCTCCCATCGGAAAGACCCAGTAACCAAATGCTCCCTGGCCTCCGTCTGGGTGAGTAGCGACCACGAACGGATCAGTGCCGTAGTTCGGAATATGACCTGCAAAAAATGTATACATGATATTCTGTTAAAAACCAAATCATTTCTGCAAGTCCAGATAGTCCACAGTAAAGCACAAACTCCAACCCGAATATGTCTCGCTAAGTTAGGCTCAATCCCATTAAGCCATGTCCCAAATAACGCATAAACAGAATTCGGTGGAGTGATACTAAAAGCAATGTGGATCGTCTGCCAAAGTACCTTGGCTAACGGGCAATCAAAAAAGAGATGTTTGATAGTCTCATCCTGATCACAGAAACTACACCTAGTAGGTCCTGTCCAATTACGCTTCAAGAGATTGTCCTTCGTTAAAATAACTTGTTTATGAAAAAACCACATAAACACTTTTATTTTCAAAGGAATTTTGACATCCCAAACATGCTTGGACGTAGGAATGGAGTGTGAGTTAATAACATCAATATACATTGATTTAACCGTGAATACTCCAGATTTAGTCGGTTTCCAGCGTAATTCATCGGGTTGTTGTGTAATCTGGACTTCCATCAGTCTCCTAACTAGATGGAGCCATTGTTCCCAACGATTGCCCGCTAGCGTACGTCTGAACTGAATATTAAGGGGGATCGATTAAAAGACCGGTGCAACGAACATCTCACGTCGTTGCACAATACGGTATAACGACGGATATTGGATGGCCAATGGTGTCTCGCCGAGCCAAGTATCCTCCCAGAAACGTGTACTCGTGCCGTTTCCAATAACAAACTTTGTCCTATTAAACAAAGACTGTTTGACTTTCATCAAGCCTTTCCAGAAAGGCGAATCGGTCGGCCTAACAGTGACCTGGGACAAAGTTTTTGTCTGGAGGTACTTGTTGCGAAGGATTTGAGCCCACATAACGTCATTCTCCAATGAGAGCTTCCACAGCCACTTGCTAAGAAGGCATTTATTCTTAACTTCTAGATTCTCAATACCTAGACCTCCTTGGTCTTTCGGTCTACAGATGATGTCCCATTTAGCAAGCCTATATTTTCTTTTAAGCTCATCACCCTGCCAAAAGAAGCGCGATCTATAGAAGTCCAGTCTCTTCCTAACCCCAACTGGGACCTCAAAGAACGATAGGAGAAACATTGGCATACTCGTGAGCACCGAATTAATCAGGATTAATCGGCCTCCGTATGACATGAGCTTACCCTTCCAAGAGCTCATTTTTTTCTCAAACCGATCCTCGATGCACTTTCACTCTCTGTTAGTCAGCCTACGATGGTGGATTGGAATCCCTAGATCAGAAAAGGGTAACTCGCCCAACTCACACCCAAACAATTGCCGATAAGCCTCCTGTTCATCTTTGGCCCTACCAAAGCAGAACAACTCGCTCTTATGAAAGTTAATCTTTAACCTGGTCAATTGTTCAAATAGGCATAGCACCAGCTTCATATTTCTCGCCTTGGCCAAGTCATGCTCCATAAAGATGATTGTATCATCAGCGTACTGAAGGATTGATACTCCTCCATCAATTAGATGAGGTACCAATCCCCCTACTTGACCATTTTCCTTAGCCCTTCCTATCAAAATTGCTAACATGTCCACCACAATGTTGAACAAGATAGGAGACATCGGATCTCCTTGTCTTAGGCCTTTATGTGTCTGGAAGTAATGACCTATGTCATCATTAACTTTAATTCCCACACTACCTTTTTGCGTAAATGATTCAACCTGTCGGCGCCAGGCTTCGTCAAAACCTTTCATACGCAATGACTGTTGGAGGAATGGCCATTTGACCTTATCGTACGCTTTCTCGAAATCCACCTTAAAAATTACTCCATCTAATATTTTGGAATGGATTTCATGGAGTGTTTCATGCAGGACGACCACCCCTTCAAGAATGTTTCTGTCCGGCATGAAAGCAGTTTGAGACTGCTGCACCACAGAATGCGCAATCTGTGTGAGTCTGTTTGTCCCGACCTTGGTGAAAATTTTGAAACTAACATTAAGGAGACAAATCGGCTGGAATTGC